AAGATGACTGCTGTGCCGCATCAGCTGATAATCATCCCTGCGTAGCAGAACTGCTTTCCTGAAACTGCATTCCCTGGAGACTCACCTACACTTGTGGATCTGCAGGAGACCCTCCCTTAATCCAACCCTGAGTGGAATTTATGCTCCCTATTGCCAAAAACTTTATGAGCTGATGGTTGGAACTCGTGGCCTCTCTCCCTTTACTTAAAATATCCAGCATGTGCCTTCCAGCCACAAAAATGAATCTTCCAAAAGCACTGTGAAGCCATCAACTTCAGTTTCCTTGGACTCAAACAATGTGACAAACAGCACTGCACCACCTGTGACAAACATCTAAAATGGCAACACCTGATGTCTCAACAAATGTGACTTCTACCTTAAAGTCTGTAACCAAAACCAGTGTTTCACAGAACACAACCCAAATGTCTACATCTACAGTGACCCCTGCCCACAATAGTTCAGTGACATCTGTTTCTTCATCAGTAACAGTCTCAACAACTATTCATTATAAAGAAAATAAAGAATCGAAATTTGATACTGGCAGCTTTGTTGGTGGTATTGTATTAACACTGGGAGTTTTATCCATTCTTTACATTGGATGCAAAATGTATTACTCAAGACGAGGCATTCGATACAGAACCATAGATGAACATGATGCTATCATTTAAGGAAATCCAGGGACCAAGGAAAGAAGATTGATGCAACCCTATAACTAATTTTGGTTTATTCTCTTGAAAACTGTATAAACAGGCCATGCACATAATGTACAATGTATTACATAAATATGAAAAAAAAGAGAGAAGTATCTTTGATCTTCAAGATTTAGATGTTAACATATCTAAAAAAAAAATGTATATTTAGGAGGTCAGCAGGTGGTGTGGTGGTAAAGGCACTGGACACCCACATGGCCGACCACAGTTTTAGTCTCAGACCTGGTGGCTTGCTTTCTCACGTTCCCTTTCTCTCTCTCTCAGTCTCTCTCTGATGAGTGCATGTGCCCTATAGCAAATTTAAAATAATAATAATGAAAATTAAATAAATAGTTATAAAAATGTACAGCTGGATTCTTGCTTTGCATTTCTGTCATGTGACTTATTTTTTTGTCCTTTAAATACTGTATCATGGAACTTATTTTGAGACAGAATGTAATGATTTTCTATGAACATTTTCTCTTTTATTGGTCAGATTTTTGCAATAGGGTGTGGGCCCTCGCCAGAGACACAGAGACAGAGAGAACAAAAGTGGGAATCATCCCCTGGGCCAGGGTAGCCATGCTGCAATCCCTTCTCTTCCATTCTCCTCTTGGGATTTTGGGCATGCACATGCATGTGCCTGGCATGAGTTTCAAGCTGCCGTCTTGGACTCTAACTGGGACTCTAACCACAGTTCACCGTGTGGGAGTCCAGCACCTTGCCCACTACACCACCTGCTGGTCCCTCTATACACATTTTCTAAATGTTCATAAGAGAGTATTGCTTCCATAAAGTCATTAAACTATTGAATCCATATCTTACTTCCCTTTAGGAATACTACTTGTAGACATTAAATAACGTTTCCTTTCTTTCTTCTTCCAGCCTAGAAGCCTAAGAGGATCAATCACTTGGCCATATATAAATTTTGTCATATTACCCGGATTATTACCTGCTCTGATCTAAAAATAGCATTTGGTAATTGTGAATTTTTAAGAAACCAAGACTCAGAAAAGAAATGTACTGATTATGGTAAGATAGGAGTAGGAAAGCTACTATGCTAGTTCATAACTTTGTAGATGTTAGCTGAAGTTTGTTAGTGATAAAAATTGAGTAAATGTGCATGTGTACATTTTTTTTAGGTTTTTGTCATAGGTTGCATGTGCCCTTTGGAGAGAGACAGAGACAAAGAGAGGGAAAGTAAGAAATCACTCCCCATGGTGGGGAATGGCCAAGCTACAGTCTCTTTTCATCTACTTCTCCATTCTCCTCTTGAGATTTTGGGTAAACATACACACACACACACACACACACAAACACATACACTTGGCATGATCTTCAAGCTGCCAGATCTGGGAGTCCACTGTCTTGACCACTGTGCTGCCAGCTGCCAACTCCTCCATGCAACTTAAAGGCATTTATTTACTCCTGGGTCAGGTAGGATAAAAATAGTAACCTGATTATCTGAGCTCAGAGCCCAAGAAATTACTAATCTAAATTATTACAGATTTTCTTTATTTTTATCCCTGCTGTTACACAGCCAGAGCTGGGTCTTGAGCTTATATCTGTTTCACTTCTTTTGCCCCTACTGGATAGTCCTGCTGTAGAAGCTATAGAGAATTACACAGCTGTGGCACTAGTTCCTGTACAACCTTGGGGGTCTCCCTCTCTTTCTCTGTGTAAAATGGTCTTAATGTGCTCCTCAAGAGGGCTTTATTCCTATCATAGCCAGTTGTTTTCTATTCCCAGCCCAAACTGCAAAACTCCTTTACTGGTTAGCCTCACTGTACCATTCCTGACCCTTCATTCTCAACCAATGACTAGCACTTTCCTGAAGAGAAGGATGAAGCTAAGTGATAGGCATAACTTCCTGTGTTCTACCTCCCTGGTACAGACCTACAATGTAGACCATTCTTCTTTATTTCTTTTCTCTGAGTTTTATTGAAAGAGACAAAATACTATTAAAAATAGGTGTTTTAGAGCCAGAAAAACATCTGCTTCTTGCTCTGCCACTGTAACCATGTAACCTCAGGCAATTTATTGAAAACTTTTTGGTATGTAATTCTCCATCCATGAAATGGGAATAATTATAGTATCTACCTGACAGTATTGAAAGGTAATGCAAGGGAAGTATCTTTAGCATGATGTTTGGCACAGTTAATGTCTGGCATGTTAAGCAGCAATAGTAACTTCTTTCTGTTCAGATTCAACCCTTCTTCCAGGGCTCATGCAGATATTAAACTTCTATTGCCCTGGCTCTTTCCTTCATCTATGGATATGCTCAAATTTCTTCTAAGTTAGAAACAAATAGAACCAAAAACTTGATTCTTCCTATATTTCTTTTTGTTATTCCATTTCTTTTTCCCACATCCAAGCTTTTTCCATAGAGTAGGATTTTCTCTTTCACTTTAAGTGAGCTTTTAGCATCTAGATTCTGCTTTCCTTACACTGAAAATGTTCTCATTGGAAAAATTGGGTATCCACCTGCAGAAAGATGAAACTGGACCCCCACCTTTCACCACTAACAAAAATCAACTCAAAATGGATAAAAGATCTGAACCTAAGACCTCAAACTATAAAACTACTGGTGGAAAACATTAGGGAAACTCTGGGAGACATTGGGTGGGCAAAGCCTTTTTAAATAAGACCCCCAAAAATTGATGAGTGGGATTACCTCAGTTTAAGAATTTTCTGCACAGAAAAAAGACACAGCAATTAGTGTGAATCATTAACCCTCAGAATCAGGGAATATTTTTGTAAACTATGCTTCAGGTAAGGGACTGATAACCAAAACCCACAAGGAACTCAAGAAACTCCCCCCCCCAAAAAAAATGATTAACCAATTAAAAGATGGGAAAATGAAGTGAACAAAAATCTCTCTAAGGAAGATATATGAACAGCCAAAAAACATGTGAAAAAATGCTCAACATTCCTCATGATAAGTGAGATGCAGATTAAACCACTATGAGATACCACCTAATCCCTGTCAGAATGGAAAAGATTAAAAATACAAAAAATGGTTAAGTGTTGGCAGGTTTGTGGTAAAAGGGTAACTCTCTTACACTGTTGCTGGGAATGTAAATTTTCCAGCCACTGTGGAAAACAATATAAAGGTTTCTCAAAGATCTACAAGTAGAACTACTGTATGATCCACCAGTTCTACTCCTGAGTATCTACCCAAAGGACAGGAGAATGTTCAGTCAGAAAAGTGCTTGCATATCTATGTTTATTGTGTTATTATTCACGATTGCTAAGACATGGAACCAACCCAATTGTTCATGAACAGAAGAATAGATTGAAAAAGTGTGGCACATATACTCCAAGAAATAGTATTCACCCATTTAAAAAAAAAAAAAGCAAGATCCTGGAATTTGATAGAAAGTGGAGGAGTATGGAAGATTTGTTGCTGAGTGAAGCAAGTCAGGCTTTGAGAGACATCGTATGTCTCCACTTAACATACACCGACTGTCCACATTCTATGATAGAGACTGAAAGATTGAAGGGCATAAAAGCATTAAAAATAGTTATAGACATTGGAGACAGTGTGGAAAGAGGATGGGAGAGGGGAAGAGTATAGGGAAGGAAATTAGGAAGAAAAATAGAGAAGACATTTGTGGGACACAGATATGGTTTATTACCTGTTGATGATAACGTGTATAGTATTCTCAACTGGACTGTTCTGAGTTGTATTTCATCTTGGATAAATTGTCACTGCAAGCTAAATGATGTATAATGATTGAATGTATAAGAAAAAATTTTAATAAAGAAAGATTGCCATTGATGAGTGAGATTACCTCAGTTTAAGAAGTTTCTGCACAGCAAAAAGACACGGTAATTAGTGCGAATCATTAACCCTCAGAATAGGAGAATATTTTTGTAAACTATGCCTCTATGTAATGGCAATTAAGGTTGACATTGAGACCTTCTGAAATGGACATGTGCTTTTGCTTACCTAGCATTCTCCTTCTGAAGGTATGCCATTTTGGAAGCTGCCCTCCTCTGTGACTCTTGCCATAGCTGCCAGTTCAATACTCTGCTCTCTCGTAGTCCAAGAGTGAACATAAGATTCTAAGTCAGGTCAAATAGAAAAGCAAGTCACAGAAATGACATATGGTAGCATTTCCTTCATTCTGGAACCTGGACATCATTTTCTTTTTCTGTCCTTTCCATGGACTAATTTCTGATTTTTTTCCTTGCAGTTTGTGATCTGCCTCATATTCCTTTGATACATTTCTTTTTGCTTACATTATGCAGTTGATTCTCTTGCTTACAGCAAAAGAACTCTGACAGTCTTAATTGGTAAATTAAAGGGAAATAAGTCAGTCTTTGTGTAATTTGCTTTTTGGTCTCATTGACTACTTCATCCTTGAAGTTGTCTGTAAATCCTGCAATGATGCACTGTCTTGGCTTTTCTCTTACCTTTCTGTTCCCTGATCTCAGTCCTACCCCTTCCCAAGATCCAATACCTAAATGCTGGCTTTCTAGATTTCCCCTCTTGATCTTGTTCCCATTGCTAACCCAGAGTTCTTGAATTCTGTCACAGACACTCTAGCAGGAGGCAGAGGGCTGGAGATTGCTTCTCTGGATAATGTCACTAAATGCATTGAATAAAATATGTAGAATTACACAGGAAATTAATTATACTGAAATGCATTTATCAAAATATTAAAAAAATTGTGATGTTGTAGTATGTGTGCTTTATTTTTATTAACACACTGAATAGCAAGAACTACCATGACTTTGAAGAAGCAAAATTATGTAAATTCTATTTCAATATATCTTTAATAACTACATAAATAGTAACTAACATGATATGAAAATATCAGATTTTTTGTTTTGTTTTGTTTTTATTGAGAGGTTTTTCTATAGGGTGTGTGCGCTTGCCAGAAAGACAGAGAGAGACAGAGAGACAGAAAGCGAGAAATCACCCCCTCAGGGAGGATGGCCACGCCACAATCCCTTCTTCTCTATTCTCTATTCTCCT